ACACACACACACACACACACACACACACACACACACACACACACACACACACACACACACACACGCGGATATATGCTTTTTTTTTTTTTTTTTTTTTTTTTTTTTTTTTTTTTTTTACCTCTTTTCGTATGGGTTAAACATGCAGCAGGTCCACAATACGCACATGCATACGCACGAACAGGCACACACCTATATATGCTACAGACATCGAACTTTATTCATCGCGCTTTCTGACAAGGCAGATGCGCACTTAAGTTTTGAAAAATGATAATTGTTAAGCTAAGATGTTATTTATTATTAACGATATGACTGACAACGTAAATAATCCGTTCGAATGCGATGGCATATGAAGCTATAGATGTGTCATTAAGTGCTTTTCTGGTTTGTTCTAATTATCCAGTGTATGATTGGACAGGCTTCAATATTGGTTATTATCTTGAGATTCATTTAGCTTTTAATACGCCTATTATTAATTTTCGATAATTGATTGCATGGATGATGGATTGCGGTGGTTTTATGTTCGGTTATCGCTCAAATTGCTCATCTTTAACGCAATCGGTAATACAGGCATATACGCGAACATTGATTATATATTTGTGCAAACGCGAACGTTATCTATTGTGCATACGCGAACGTTCATTATCTATTTGTGCATTGCTTATTCTCTCGTTTACATACTTTTCTTGAGAACATTGAAAGACTCTTTACGTATTCAAATATTTATTTATAGAATCGCTAATGGTATCCGCCTCCGTTCTGAGGGAAGACGACGGCAGGACCAGAAACTTTGGGGTGCTGAGCCTTGCCGGAGAAGCTGACCTTGGCCACGAATCCCCTGCCGTGGTCAGCTGTGTAGTCGACCTGTAGAAAAAAAATGTAATTGGAAGTACATATATCACTTTGTTTTATCGCAGTAAGTGGCGTAACCAGGCCAAAGAACAAGATCTGGCTTATAATTACGGTTTGTTTACGACCGTCGGGGAGGGCGACGGTGTAGGATCCCCAGACGCTGTTCCCGTCGGACTTCTCACTCTGGCCGAAGTTGGTTCCCTTGTAAGCGTCGTTCACGGCGTAGTTGAAACCGTATGGGATTGGACCCTAAGAGAAGAAGGGGCGTCACTTACAAGTACTAGCATAAGTCAGTTCATGTCTAAGTAGTCGTGCTCTCCCTCCCTCTTCCTCTTTCTTTACCCCTCCCCCTCTCTCTTTACCTCCCCCTCTCTCTTTCCCTCTCCCTCTCCCTTCCCATACTTACAGAAGCATAAGCAGGTCCTTGATTCCCAGGATGAGCCTGCGCGGTGGCTAGCACCACAAGTACCACTGCGACCTGTTTCAAGAAAGTATGATGTAGAACAAGCAACATTTCTTAGACAATCTATTTAATCCCCAAAAATGAGTGGACATACTCTTACATCAGTATGATATATATTCAGCATTACTTTTCTCTTTTTACGTCAGTATTTTTTTTAACCAATTCTTAATTTAAATGCAAGTCTACTTTATTTTCATTAGCGAATCTGTCTAATATTAAATTGTATATAAATATGTATATACCTTACACACTATATATATATATATATATATATATATATATATATATATATATATATATATGTGTGTGTGTGTGTGTGTGTGTGGTGTGTGTGTGTGTGTGTGTGTGTGTATGTATATATATATATATGTATGTATGATTATAATAGATTCTCATCGGGACACCTTGCACACTAAAACCCACTTGGTAAATCATTTTCTCTGTGAGGTTACTGTAGTGGTGGCGATAGCTGAAGGACTAATGGCTCAGTAAAATTCATGTGATCATTATATACTGTTGACTGTCACGCGTAATGCGTTAATAGGATGACAATAGACCCGTTGTTTCGCGGTTATGAAACTTGCCAGCCTTAGGGACCCACAGTTTTTCAATTGACTGACACCAATATTTGTTGGGGGATTTTTTTCTTTCTTTTTTGATAATTCATTACTGGGTCCGAACCGCACGTAGCGACACTGCTGGCTGGGAGTATCACGAGAGCGATAATTGCCAGGTCGATCGCCGATATTGGTTACTAGTATTTTTATAACGACTTGTTTGTAAGAGAGTAAAATAAAATCTATGTTTTTAGATTTATGCTTGTTATCAGAATTAGCTACATTGAAGTTGGTTTAGCATGGAGTTATTGTTCTTATTTTTCGTACTGTCTGATAATTGTTGGAGTGTTCAGAGAAACATGAAGCTTTACGTTATCTTGATATCGTTTCCACTTTTATGCAGATAATATCAAACTATTTTAAGTTATATATATATATATTTGTATTTTCCCTTTTCCTGGGTCTGTATAATTTAGTCATTATATGGTTTGTATAAATGATAAGGTTAATACTTTTTGCCTCAACATGAGTTTGAAACAAAGTGGTCGTTATGCTTATTTACATAAACCTAAATTGCTATGGCACTACTGCATTAATTTACTTCCGTGTGCTTTATACCTTTTTAGAGGGAAATGTCAAGAATTCTGAAATTCGTTATCACATATAAGTTTCTATGCTTTATGATAAATCTATCCCCGATATATGTTACAAAATCTGAAAGCGTAGAACATTCGTATTCAGGAAATGTGATGATTAGGTATTTACATCTGCATTCTTTTTCCTTAATTCATTCAGTGAGAGAGGGCGGGATGCGATACCAGAGACAGGCTCCTTATGTACGGTTCTCACTCGCCAAAAAACATTATTATACATTATAGATAAAAATTGCGATTTGAATATATAACTAAAACAGATGTTTATATATTTTCTTATTTGACTTTATATACGAATACTTGTAGCAATTATGTATCTTCGTAATTCCAAGCATGATGAATTACCTATGGGAGTGTTATATAAAACAAAGAACATTGTAAGCACCGCTCTCAGTCGGAGGAATAATGTAAACACAAACAAAAGATTCCCATTCCATTAAGGTCTTCCGTTTTGGTAATAGACTTTTATCTAGGAACCGCTCTTATGGCCAGCTCTGTGTGGTTCTATTTACACAAGAATGCTAATTATTATATAAAGTGTAGGTACATTCTTTGATACTAAGAGCGTTCATAAGGGAAGATCATGTAATATCTGTGCAAAGAAGATGCTGTTATTAAAAGATTTTTCGGGGTTCTCGCTAGTTGTTCACATTGTACTTGTCACTGTACAAGATGAAATGAAAAATCCGAATTATACTTTGGGTAATATGTCTTGCTATGTTTCAACTTTTAGTGGTACTAGAAACTTTTAGTGGTACTACATTAATCAATTGCTTTACGGATGAACTTGTACCTAACTACCGCTGGAATCGCAGAAAATGGAAAGTAAAATTTCTTATAAAGATTGAGAACAAGAGCTGATGTGAATTAAAGGCAAAGTTAGTGGGCGTCTTTCCATTTCGATGGTCTTGTTAGCTTTTGATTGCTTCAGTTATGATTCAGATGGGTATTCCGTCCTCATTATTCATGTCTGTTTTGAAACGATCGCCATTCCGGCCTGAAGCTATAGAACTTTAAGCAGATTTAAGATGGAATTAGGAGACTTAAACAGTTGTTAAACTCAGCAATAGAGGTTCCCTGTCGAGTCGACGGATTTTATAGATCATCTTGGGAACTCATGACCAAGTTGATTATTGAAAGAGAAGCGAAGCATATTCACACACACACACATACATACACACACGCGCGCATGCACGGTTAATCGGTTTTAAATCACCGTTTTCAATATGATACGGAAGTGGCCATTAGCCAGTAAATATACGATCATATTACCAACATTTTGCCACAGTATTTCAAAAATTCCCGTTATGTTTCCACAAATTTACGAATATTGTTCTGTGGTATTGCTTCCTATAAAATGAATTGATTCGGCATTGATTCTGTGACTCTTGAGAAACGCAAGATATAACTGTAATTACGAGGTTCGCAATCAGGTAATTTTATGTTTACATAGAAGATTGACGAGCATATGTCAATATTTAGGTTCGGATCATATATGAAGTTTGATTTAGATCTATATTTTATCCTTTAGATTGGTACACACTGAAGTAGTGCACTGTGGGCACATTTATACATAATTACTGTTTGTTTATTTATTTTTGTCTTTAGTAATTGTATCATACATAATCCTTTTTTCTCATTAAAGTTTAATTTCTTTTTCTTTCATTAATTATGAAGGTGAAAAATCAGATATTTAGTTTCATGTTTTTTATGTATATTTTTAATAGGGATATACAGATTTATAAATTCTGTCTTCAGTGATATCCACCTCCATTCTGCGGAAAAGTTACTGCTGGACCGGAGACCTTTGCGTGTTGAGCTTTGCCGGAATAGCTTACCTTCGCCACAAAACCATTGTTGTGGTCAGCCGTATAGTCAACCTGTGTTTGCAAGAAGTGTTTCAGTAATGAGTAGCAAGTTTCTATATTAAGTGATGATTTTTAGGATATATTGCATAAGCAGATCACGAGACTATTGCCGTGTTTCAGATGAGGAATAGGACTTGCATGTTGTTTGCGGCCGTCGGGGAGGGCGACGGTGTAGGATCCCCAGACGCTGTTCCCGTCGGACTTCTCGCTCTGGCCAAAATTAGTTCCTTTGTAGTCATCGTTCACAGCGTAGTTGAAGCCATAAGGTATAGGGCCCTAGGGAGAAGGGAAGGAAATTAGCGGAGAATGGTGGTTAAACATTAGTGGCTTTTGCAGTCTGTATCACTGGTATTTAACACTTACTGATGCACTACCATAGTTAGAGGGGTAGCCTTGTGTAGCAGCTAGTATAACGAGGGTGATAATTATCTGAAATGTAAAAAGGAATCCATATTAATTTGTGAAATACTTTTTTTTCTGTCAGATACGCCTTTCCGATTAATATTATATATTTTGTATTTTCATGTTTGCAATTTAATTCCTGTAAATGGCTTTGAACTCCTCAAAAACACGTCTAACTTCCGCCTTTTCACTGCTGAATAACAGTCAG